CCCCTCCAACTCTTCCCCGACCCGAACCCTCTGGAACCTCGCGGGTGGGGTCCCTTTAATTAGCAAGGCTGTTGGCGGAGCGGGGCGCGATAAGTCATCTTGGGGTCGCCCCTCCGGAGACAGTATTTGAACCACTCTGCGTCACTGCTGGACGGGTGCGACCGGGGCGGGGACCGGCCCGCGGTACGCGTTGTAACAACTGTTAACATTATATACTTGCTGTACATATCTCTTTGTAAAATTTTAAATTCATTTAAATATTTTTACGCTCGCAATGAATGATGGTGTAACTTGGATCATACAAACTCGCCACACTCTCGCACAAGGTCTGCACTGATAACCCAAGTGTTCAACTGCTCAACACTTGTTAGTGTGCAACCGCAAGTTCAATACTTGCAAGTGTTCAATTCAGTAGTAGTACACTTGCAAGTGTCCAACTCGGTATTTGTGCAACACCACCGTTGACCACTTCCCTCACAGTAAACACCCGATCTAGAGAAGTGTACAACAGGAGAGTTAAACACTTACAAGAGCACAACACTTGAATGTATTGAACTTGCGGTTGCACACTTATAAGTGTTGAGCAGTTGAACACTTGGTTTATCAGTGTGGGGTATGAGAGACCGCCTACTAGCAAAATACTCACACGGGTTCCATTATACCTTTATAATACTTTATTATACTGCTCCATAATATATGACAGTAAGCATAATACCTCCTACATAATACTTCATAATATCAAATCAAATAATATGCCTTGAAACATGCGATAATACCGCAGTCGTAGACGGCTAAGGTGAGTTGGCGACCCCTCGGTATGAGAACACTTAGCCGAGCCTACTTCACGGCGGGCCTGAACACTCCTGCAGTCGCTCTGATAATGTCGTTACTAATGGCCGTTACATTATTGCGCCGACTTTCTCCGCGGAAGGAGCGCGCCGCCAGCCCGCCTCCTTTTAATTACCAATAGTCTCATTTCCGAGTGGCGGTGCATCCACCCTAGGCGGCTGGTGACACTTTAGAGGGCCGGACTGGGAGGGTATGGGCCCCAGCTGCCACGTCACACGTCAAGGGGGCCGGTACATGGTTCAGCTGAACACTCCGTCCCACGCACACTAATAAAAGTTTACAATGCATTTTACCGTAAGTCACAGTGAAGTGCAGCACTGTAGCTTACAGCGCCTTTCACTGCAAGCTGCACTAAAGTGCACAGACTTGTGTTTCCAGAGTACCTGTTGTTGTGCTGCGCAGGGATCGTGTGTGTCGGTCACTCTGGCTGGGCGTGGAAAGGTCACGAGGCGAGCATTGTCACGATGATGCACCTCTGTGCGCCGCCCATGCTCCTCCGCACCGGCGCTCAGTGATGCAGCTGTTCATCCGAACCGATCCGAACTGCCGACTATCCAACGTGGAAGGGGGCAATTTAGCATAGTTTGAAGTTAAATGTCTTGTGCAAATCCACACGGTAAAAACGAGGGCTCATTTTTTTTGAGGGAAAACTTTGAGGAACTCCCATGTTTGAAAAAGAGTTCTCCGAATGAGAAAAAAATCCCACATTTTTTGAGATTTCCTCGAAATCTGAGGAGTTTTTGTCAAACCAGAGGAGTTCCTCAATGTTTTCCCCTTTCCCTCAAAAAAAGAGACATTGTTTTCACCGTGCAAAGAGGGGAGGATAATCTATTTCTAATCTGAAGGCGAAATGGAGCGAATAAGTCACGAAATAGACCCGAAATAGTCGGTGAAATAGTCGCGAAATACCACCAAAAGACCGCGAAATACCCCCGAAATACTGCGAAATACCCTGAAATTATCCGAACTAGGCGAGAAATAGCCGAAATGGCAGGAGAAATAACCGGAATGGCAGGAGAAATACCACGAAATAGCCCGTACGCTACGAACCCAAGTGATTTCTCCCTCGAAACTATTATAGACATGTACACTGACTCAGTTGTGTACATGCCATGCTCATACTTGGCGGTTTTTACCACTTTTACTGTACGCTCTGCGCGGGCCAGAGGAAACATGTATACTGCAATATAGTTTCGGGCGGCTTTGTAATTGTTCCAATTCTACCACGTCGAGTTGTTTAGTTCAATCGTTGATATTAGTTAGCTATTCCCACTCAGCCCTTTACTGACTTTATTCGAAGTGGGCGACAAACTTACTGTACAGCAATGATTTATTGTAACACCCTTAAAAATAATTCGTATTACCATTTGTGAGTATTGCTGCTGTTCAAAGGTTTTTCGATCTATATAAATTGTCAGTAACGGGCTTAGAGTGCGTCTTCGCACGCTTTTTTCGAACGGTGTCCTCCGCGCTAGTCAGTCTTCCAATGCGTCGCTCGCGCTTATTTCGGTTGGGCCCTCTGATTGACTCATCCCGTAACACAAGCTGCTGTTGTTTGCACGCAGGATTGACTGGTCGGCGTATTGAGCTTCCGGTGACAATGATTGCGTACGACGCTAGATGAAAAAGTAAATTTAGAAAGCTATAAATTACATAGAGCTCGGAGTAGGACTCCCATAACGTGTGTTACCAATAGGATTAAAGATCTAAGTTAGTTGCCATTGAAAACAAATTTTTATCCTTTAACTTAATGCGTCACATCATCGGTGATTTATTTAAAGTAGCCACTATTTAACTTACAAATCGAAAATCCGTAACACTTTAGAGGTGTTTATGAAGCGCTGTCAGCATTAATAGTGGGCGGGGAGCAGTGCACTGGACCTGCATGCACCGGCGCCCCGTTCCAACTGTTTATTCGGCTTTCAGTTTGACGCCATTCATATCATGACGAGGTGCTTGGCTTACATTAACGTCAGGCATCATGGGGCAGTGACTAAGGGGTATTCACCGCTCACTAGTTATTATGTCTGATTATTTATTTATAATAGACATGGCGTCCCAGCCAATGCAGCGAATCGTTCAGGTGAGCGTGAATGACATACTTAATTCTTTTTTTTTGTTTTATTGACAGGTGCGCCAGAACTTCCTCCCAGACCCCAACAGTTTGCAATGAGTGGGCATATGCAAGTACACCTGCGCACACAAACCAGCGAAAAGCCCTTTAAGTGTTCTGTGTGCAACCATAAATTTTCAACGGGTGGGGGTCTGAAGGTTCACCTGCGCACACACACCGGCGAAAGGCCCTTTGAGTGTTGTTTGTGCATGAAGAGGTTCTCAAAAAGTGGGGATCTTAGAGTTCACCTGCGCACACACACCGGCGAAAAACCCTTTGAGTGTTCTGTGTGCAGCCAGAACTTTGCTGCCAGTTCGCAACTGAGACGACATCTACGTATTCACATTGACAAATAGAAGCACTCTGCGTGTGAAATCTTTTTCGACTGTTTGGGTACTGTGCATTACTTATTCCGCGACCACAACACCAATAAACCAGGCTTTTTCTTTGCACCTTGTTTCTGTTTTCTTAATTGTATCGGAATCAAAATATAATGATTAAAGGGGTTGGACCGACTTTTGTTTTATTTCACTAATCGATAGAGTATCTTATCCTTACCCACTACCACGAGCCGTTTTGCCTTATTGCGACGCTTAGTTTAGGCGTCAAAAGTAAACACCTCGAACAGTGAAATAACCTTGACGTCATTTGATATTGTAGATAACGATGAAATTAGGTTAGGCGTGACGAAGGGGAACAGAGTGAGATTATAACTAATTCTCACAGTGTTAAACTGCGCGACTTCCTAGGCAGCCGTGTAAACTAGTTGAAAGCTAACATCTTGTTCTATTATATTTTTAGAGTGATGCCTGATGTTAGTTTCTGAGGGCCGGTCTTGGACGCAACACGTCAACTCGTTCTCATCCCCTGGACGGTGTCCCCGCGGGTAGCCGCTCGCGCCCGCCCCACCCTTCAGCCGGGGGTGGTGGTGGGGGCGCCGCCTCCGCCGCGCGCCGCCCGCGGCCCGCCCGCGGCCCCAGTCAGTCAGTAGACGCGGTCGGGTCTGGTCCAGGTCGCCGCGCGCTGCGCTGCCGTCGCTCGCGAGGTCGCCCGTGCGCCGCGTGTTCGAGAACGCGATGCGCCGCGCCGCGTAGAGTGTGTGTGATACTACAAGAGTTACTGTGAGCCCCAGCGATCATGCAGCACCCGCAGGTGTCGTGGCTGCTGCCGTGGGGCGTGCCCGTGCACAGCGTGCACCACATGCACCACCACCACCCCGCCCTGCAGGGCCTGCAGCAGGGCCTCCAGCAAGGCCTGCAGCAGGGCCTCCAGCAGGGCATACAGCAGGGCCTGCAGCAGGGCCTGCACCACCTCGGCGCCGTGGGCGTCGGCCCCGTCGGCCACACGGTCGGGCACGCGGTGGGCGGCCACCCCGGCGTGCACGGCCCGGTGCACGGCATGGCGCTGGGCATGGCGCCCGCGCCGCTGGCCGCCCTCCGGTCCTTCGTGGCCACCCAGCAGCAGCACCAGCAGCAGCAACAGCACCAACAGCAGCACCAGCAGCAGGCGCCGGCGAACAACGGGCGGGGCGTCCCGCGCATGAAGGTAAGCGCTCGCACAAGACAAGCAGACTGTCAACATCAGGCGTAGGCCGGGAGCTTTAGGGGAGGGAAGAGCGAGAAACTCGGCTGTAAAAACGCTGGCTGGTCCTTCCGTTTCACTGTCAAAGCGTAGTAGTGAATCGCAGCCCTTGCGGCGGCCCCGCATTGCGCCCCCCGGCGCTCCGGCCCCCCGGCGCGCCCCGTACCCCACTCGACCCCCGGCCCGGCCCGGTGCGGCGCTCAGCTGATCCCCATCGACCGGCTCGTGCTGTGCTGCGCTAGACGCTCCGACACCTTGGGAGGCGTGGCGGGGCGTGCGGCGTGCGTGTGCTCTGGTGGGGCACCGTCTCCAGCACACGGTGCTCCAGCCGCAGCCTGCTGCTCGGCGGTGTGGTGCGGTGGCCGGTGGCGGGCTCGTTTACCTTGCTGGACCGGTGTCCGGCTGTTATCAGAAAGGGGTCCTGTTGGAAGCGGTGGTTACGGCCTTACTTATTCACTTCCGAATCTCTTCGCACGCAATCCTTGTCAGCGCGGCTGGTTCGCGGATGGACCATAGACTCTGGTGCTGGTGCGGCCAGTGCCGGGGGGTGGAGCTCAGTGACAGACGCGGTTGTCATTTTGTTCCGCCATTCATTTGTATTTCATTCTTTGAATCTGTTCTGTCCGTCCGGCATAGTGACGCCCATATCCCCCATATCCCCACCTCTGTCACTCTTGGGGGCTGTGTGGCCACCCTGCCTGCCGGTGGACAAAAAAGAGCGCGCGAACGTGGCCGGCCGAAAAAGTTTGGGAACGCGTCCAGCTTGTCGTCTCACTGTCTCACTCGCTCTGACCCCCGAGGAGGGCGGTCGTGCGGAGGGACCCAATAACTCACGATGCATTGTGCGCCAGCGTTTAGAGAATTCGTCCGTCAAATGTCGGTGACGTATGAATCAGGCAGGCTATATGGGCGGAACGGCGGTCAGTTCGAGAATAGCGCTGGATGGACCGTTTCTCTGTGTGTGACATGGTGGGGTATTACCTGAAAGCGAGGGGTCGTCAACTCTCCTTGGCCGTGTACGGAGGAATATTGAATATTACAAGTAATGTTGGTAATATTGAGCTAATTTTCAAGCTGTGACGTCATAATACTAGAAAAATGTGTAATATCGAGGTAATATTACCAGTAATATGGCTAATATTGGTGTAATATTTGAGGTAATATCAGTCCGTGTACGAAGGAATATCGAAGTTGACGACCCCTCGCCTGAAAGTATGCCTCATACCGTTGATTGTTACGATTCTCAGCCGCGCTTACGGGTCTGTCAGTAAAACGCTACCGTTTTTGCCAGCATACAGTGGAAATACTAGGGTTCAATATCGTGGTGGGGCTCCTCGTGGGGCTACAATCGATTTCAATGGCCGTCTTGATCACCTTTCGGGACTCCATAATATCCCCCCCCCCCCCCTTACGAAGCCACCACGTGGTTTGGCCAGCTCTTTCCGTTCGTCCACATGACTTCCCTTGCAAATGCTGCCGCTGCTGATGCTCGAACCCCTTTGCCACCCCAGGCCACAGCCTTTAACCGCTTCTAAACCGTTATGAATTGTGAAATGTACGTGGGAGGGCAGCATAGGCTAATGGGTTGGGTAGGGATGGGCAGCGCGCGACGGAAAAATGAGGGTGAGGCTTCTAACTTTACCACTTTGATCACAACAATACAGCGACGGGGTGGTTTAGGGGGGCCGGAATAAACAGCCGAGGGGTGGTGGAGGTGAGGCCCCCTCCACCCCCACCGCCGCCCCGTGGGCGCTCCAGGAGAGCTCGTATTTCACGCGAAAAGTACTTTTATTTCTGCCCGGTTCCATTAATTAGGTGAACCGGAGGCAGCACTTCTGCTGCACATCCCCAGTGAAAGCAAATGGTTAAAGGGGAAAAGGGAGGGGGGGGGGGGTAGCGTGGACACGGGGGGCGAACACATCAGATCCATACCAAGTGTCGTGTAGCCATCTTGCCATCGCTGTCTGCGCTTTGCACCTCGCGTCACCGTCACTAACACGTTAGGTTAGAAATATCCGCTGGTCGTCAGTTTTCAGAACTTTGCACTGCTTGGCGTTGAGCGTAGTTTTCGTGTCTTGTGAAAGATCTGATACTTGAGCAACATTGAAAAATAATGCACGGAGCTCAAAGCGCCTCGTGAGCCTTGTCCCCCTCGACCCGTATCGTTTGAAAGAGTCGCACCCGCCCCCCGCCCCTCCGCACCCCGCCTTTTTATTCGGCCTGCTGCCGACTGCTTCGGTGCTTCGCGACGTGGAAGCGAGGACGGCGAATTTTCGCGCCTTTTTATCCTCCCCCCCCCCTCCCTCCTCCCTGTAATATTTCCTGGCGAGCCGAAAACGTACGCATGCCATCCACATCCCCCCCTCCCCCCCGCTCTTCCCCTGTCGCTGCTCCTCCCTTGGCCTTCTCTCTCCGCCCTCTCACCTCCCCTATTCCGCTGTTCCGCTCTTTATCTCACAGTAAACCCCCCCCCCCCATTTCCTTTTCCCTGCGTTCGAACGTGCGTACGGTTTTTCCTACGGACTGGTGGATGGGTAGCTGGTGTGAGGTCCCTAATGCGCTGCATACCCTCTTCTCTATCGAAACGCTAAACGTGGTGTCGTTCTCCGCAATGTGTGTTTTTTTTTTACATCATTTCGCCATCCCTCTCTTTTCCTAGGTTTTCTGTTTGTCCTTCCAAAATGTTTCCAGAAGGCGGCAAGACGCCTAGCCGCCGGCGGCGCTCTTTCTTCCTTTTTCTTCTTTTTTTTTTTAAACTCCATACGCACTGTTTTTCCCGCCTGGATTCTCCTCCGCGTGCCGGTGACACCCCGGCGTGTGGGTCGAGCGCGGAGCAGAGCCGGGAAAAAAAGGAATCCCGAGACTCGCGACGCGCGCGGGAAAGTTTGGAATCCTATAAAGTTTGAATACGCGCGCCGCGCCGGTGTGTCTCAGTCGCACCGCCACCACCGGAGGAGACGGAGCAATCCTCCTGCCACTGAGTATGCGTACGCAAGTTTCTTCTCTATTTCATTATTCTCCGTTCGTAAGAAAGTGAAATAAAAACAAACCTGGAAATCGTTGAATGCTGTATTCTTTTCTTTCTTTGAGCCGGGCACACGTTGTTGGCCGCGCGTTGCAGAAGCTGTCAGCGTCTCTACTTTTATCTTTGGGCCAAAGTTTATGTCGGAGGCAGCTGGAGGTGTAGCAGCGGGCGCGGTTTGTGTCCGCGCGCACCTGCAGGGTCGGCTTGGTGCGCCGGCCTCCCCCGCCCCCACGCCCCACCCCTATCGACTGACCATCTCTGCCGAAAGCACCATCAGTTTGCCTTCGGCCCCTACGGCAAGACATCCTGGGCATATAGATATACCCCTCCCCCACCCCCCGTCCCTTTCCTTCCTGGCGGGAGAGTATAGAGGGGAGGGAGGGGGGCCTGAGGGGGAAGATAACTACTCTCGCTAGGTCGTGAATGCCAACTGTTTGGGCGTGAAGTGTGACAAACGTGCAAACGGAGGCGCGCGCGGCGCCCTTGTGGGCCCCCCTTATACAGTTGTGCTACTAGCAGTACTCTAACAGTGCGAGGCTGGAGGAGCACTGAGGGAACCCCGCTCGAGCTCCGCCCCTCACACGCCTCCTCTCCCTCCCTCCCCCTCCCACCCTGCCCCCCTCCCTCTCTCCCTCCCTCTAATTCCTTTCTTCTTTTCCTCCCCCTCACCCCCTCTCTGCTCCACCGCCCCTCCCCTCTCTCACTCCTCTTTCTCCTCAATACCCCTAAACCTTAACCGGGTACAACGCTTCGAAGCGCTAAAACTTCTAATTTGGGGTTGAATTAGAGACGCGGGCATGCTTCCAGAATATTTGATCTCTTTCGCCCCCGTGCTTTTTTGTGGGAGAGCAATGGAGTCGTTTTGTAGAGCGCTGCCCGGGTGACGCGAAAGTGAACGCGAATGTGTCGCGCGGCGTGTTGACGTTCGGATAGCCATTGTGGTCGTGTGGACGGGACGTCCTGCGGCGCTGCCTGGCGCTGCCCAGTTGTTTTCGGCGCCCACAAAGGGCCGGCCTGACACGTCTGTCTGTTTGCTCACCTTTCACTACTGAACGTGACGTCGCGGGACATCATGATGGAATCCCATGGTTTTATACAGAATGCAAAACGCGCTGGCTGCCGCCGTTGGGCTTTGCGGCTACAGGTTGGCCACCGACCGCGGCGTTTGGCTGTCAGGTTTGGTGCTCTGCCGTTTCATTCAGCCGCTATGTTGTGTTTGGTTCGAAATAACCAACGCAGCCTCGGAATACTCTCTCCGGCGACTGCTATACTTGCCAACAATGTGCTCCGTTAGTTAGGTGGGGAATTAACGTCCATTCAAATAGAGCCAAGCCGGCAAAGTTTGCGCAGTGTATACTTATTGAGCCCCCCCTCTTCCTTTGCTCCACCCTCCTGTTCACCCCCGCCCATCTCCCGCTCTCTGCTCGATGCTCGATACTGTGTGCTCGATATGCCGCTGGCACGCCTGGCGTCACGCCCGCCTCCGACCAGATTCCTTCGCAAAAAACGCCCCTCCGCCACTCGTTTTATGTCGTTCTTGCGTTGCCTTTCGGAGGGAGACGCAGGGGGGAAAAGGGTGGGTGGG